TTGATCTACTTCATCCAAGTATTTATCAACCACCCCCTTCACCCCCGTAAGTTCACTCCTCAATTCCACAACCTCCTTCACCACTCCCTCAAATTTTTCACCCGTCACCATCTTAATATCACCCCTTAACACCCCAACTTCTTTCACCACTTCACCCTCAACACCTCTACTTCTTTCACCACTCAATCTATTTTTCCTTTCACTACCCCCTTATGCCTCTCAAGTGTATCTTCGACTCTCTCAAGTTTCTCTTCGACTCTTGATTGTCTTTGCATGATTTCAAATTGGATTTTTTTGATATCAGCCAATTCAGACATCAAAATGTCGAAGTTACTACGTTTTCCCTCACCATCGTCCCACTCACCGTCATCCCCCAATACAACCATCCCTCCTTTCTTCTCCTCTGCCTCCACTGCCTCCTCTACATCCTTGCCAATAACCTTCAAAATTAAATTACAGTATTAAGACATTGATTATATTCTTAATATTATTTAATTACATTTATTACCCTTTCTTGCTTCTTCGCTCTATCCAACTTCAACTTCACCATCACTCTAACCACCTCTTCCTTCCCCCATGCACGGATGCGTGCCACTCCGGTTCTTTCATAAGCCGGCACTGCCTCACAGCCCGACCAAAAATCGAACAGTGCAACATGTATTTATAATAAAATTTATATTTTTATATAAAAACACAAAAAAGTTCTTCAACTCATTTACCTCTAAGATTGCTATGCACCCTTTGAGGTATCTTTGGCTGCCCTTTTTAAAGGTGATTATTGATTCAATCAATCTCGAATGGATATATTCAGCCCAATTGAATTCACCCTTCAAGCCTTCATCACAAATGAGCTTCATATGTTCTTTGTTCGTTGACGTATTACCGTTGGACAAAGAAAGATACCGACAAGGTATAATAGAACTCTGGCCTTCAGCTCATCCCAACGTAAGATCCATTTTTTATTTCCTCTTCAATTTCAGCATATGTCACCTTATGCTTCAAACCATATTTGGAGGCAAGTGCTTTCCAGTCCTTACTCTTACAGACTTCTACAACACTTTTGCCTTCATTTTCTACCCCCAATACGGCTGCAGCACATGGGATCCCGAGAGGAAATGAAAAATCACCATATTTAGCAATACATTGCATGACATCAAATTGCGCCATCAAGGATCGACACAATTCCCTCCGAATAGGTCGATCCCTTACTCCTACCAACGATCCAAAACCTATTTCTCCCAGCACATTCAACTGACCCTTCTCCTTAAGGTGTTTAATTAATAAATTCACCCTTTTAATGCTGCATCTTGTCGACACTTCCTACATTTTTTACAATAATAATGTTATAGTTCTTATATATTTTGTATCAACGTATTTACAAGTTAATGAATACCTTATTTTCATGTGCTTTCCTCCGTTCTTTGTATTCTTTACTATCATTCCTTGACTGTGTGATGTAAGGTTCCTTTTCAGCATCACTCATTGAATTCCATTTGGACCTCACATCTTTTGTCACCTAATATAAAACATAAACGTTTCTTAATCAATACATTAACACTAAATACTACTCAATGTCAATTTCATTTTACATATCGAACCGCTCTGTGTGCCATCTTCCTTCATCCTTTTGCATTCGGCCATACTGTCAACATTTAAAATTTGTAATCAATTTAAAGTTTATCGATACTTTAATCCAATTACCATTTCAACAATAATAACAAAAAGACATTGATACTTACTAGAAGTACATATATCCACCCTTGGGTTGCTTTCGAGTCTCGGCCTCAATTTCAAAGTCATCTGCTCCACCAACAATTTTCCAACCCATTGACTCCATTTTTCCTTCATATATCAGTTTACGCAAATTAAATTATTTTGTTACATACACTTTATTCAATATACAAATATAGATAACTACTCTTGTGATAAAACGGTTTTCTTCAAAAGAATTTGAATGGCCACACCAAAATGTGTCGGCACATTTATACAACCTATAATATCATTTTCTACCTATAATATTTAATAAAAGTATCGACATTTATATTTTTCCTTGAATATCACTTTCTACCTGCAATCGTTCCCAAATGCTTCTTTACTTCAAAACCCCAAACAACACATAAAAACCCTATCGCGATTACTGTAATAATAAAAAATTAGGGTTTCGACAACATACTTTTCGATTCGACTGCAGCAACAAACAAACAAACTTCGCTTTAGAAACGCCTTCTGAAATGCAGCAACAATTACGCTTCGATTTCAAAAACTCGTCCGTTCTATCTATTTTCAGAGGAGATTTAGCTTATATTTTGATCGGATATGTTATTTATATTTAATCGATAAAAATACAAAAGTGTCGATACTTTTATGTCAGGTGTCGATACTTTCGAAAGGATAATTACCTATTTCTTTGAAAGTGTCGATAATTTATTACACGTACTTACGAAAGTATCGACACTTTCAATATATCCGATATCATTTTACCGGGTTTATCATTTTGATACCGGTTTTATCATATTTTTACCTGTTATATCGTTGTGGATCGATATATTTTTTTAAAGTATCGACACATTATAGGCGCTAAAACTGCTTCTCTTTTAAATTCACAAAGTGTCGATCCTTATATAAAGTATCGACACTTTCAATATATCCGGTAACGTTTTACCGGTTTTATCATTTTGTAACCGGTTTTATCATATTTTTACCTGGTATATCATTTTGGATCGATACATTTTTTAAAAGTATCGACACTTTATAGGATTTAAAACTGCTTCTCTTTTAAATTCACGAAGTGTCGATCCTTATATTAAAGTACCGACACTTTAAATGTATCCGGTAGCGCTTTACCGATTTTATCATTTCTATACCGGTTTTGTCATAGTTTTACCTGTTATATCGTTTTGGATCGACACATTTTTTATTTGGATTGACACGAACCGGTAGCACAATTTTTTAATATTTCTTCATGACTTAGACCTACTTTTATACGTATTGACACTTTTATAAAAATAATATATACTTTTTTTAAAGTTATGTAATTTATGTTTCAATTTTTTTTAATAGTGTTTCATGTTTTCCACCTACAATATTAATTTAATAATTTCATTTACACAAAAAATTATTTGATATTTTATAAAATATTATTTAGAATTTAAATTTAACAATATTAACCAAATATAATAATAAATATGTTTTCCACAGTTAAATAAGTATGAACACTTTTATAAAAATGATATATACTTTTTTTAAAGTTATGTAATTTATGTTTCAATAATAGTGTTTCATGTTTTCCACCTACAATATTAATTTAATAATTTCATTTACACACAAAATTATTTGATTGTTTTGATATTTTATAAAATATTATTTAGAATTTAAATTTAACAATATTAACCAAAGATAATAATAAATATATTTTCACAGTGAAATAAGTATGGACACTTTTATAAAAAGGATATATACTTTACAATATAACAGGTAAAAATATGACAAAACCAGATTCATTATGACAAAACCGGTAAAATTTACTTGATATGTTAAAAGTATATACACTTTTATAAAAAGGATAGATACTTACCGATAACCAAAGTTTACCGGTTACCAAATTTTTTAATAGTTTTTCATATTTTCTACCTAAAACATTATTAGTTGTCAACAAATAGGTACCGCTAAACCGAATTTATTAAATACATTTTAATGTATCCGGTACTACCGTATATTAACCCGCCTTTCTTGAGACAATCCCATGTTAACATATAATCATATAATCAATACTTTAATTGAAAGTACTATTTTTTCGTTTTATTCGTAAAAAATAGTATGAGTGATTTAATATTTTATAAAAAATTAAATAGTTTAATTGTTATATATAATTAACTAATAGTTTAAATTGATATTAACTATTAAATATTTATTTAATATAAAATTATTTTTTGTATTTGATTTTTTTATTTTTGTATTTACAATTTATCAATTTCTTGAATATTTCTAAATTTTGTTTTTAAACTATTTATTTTATTATTCTTAATACTTTTTCATAATATTTTTAAATCTTTTAAGTCTTTGATTTGAGAACAATGTTTAACAAAAATATTTAATTAGATTGTTTTTTTCAATTTTTATAAAATACATGGATCAAATTCTAAATTTTCAATTTACATAAATTTATGCGAACATTCATAATAATTAATAAGGCCATAAATATTCTATAAAGGGAGCTAAAGTAATGTACACGATTTATTTCGATTTTTGTTATAGCAATCGTTTAACCAAGACTGCCCTAAGCTGACGATTAATTTTTAGCTTAAGAACCCGAAGTTTAAATCATGGCGTCATATAATTACATTAAAATGTTTAATTAGATTGATAGTCCACTTAAATAAAATAATAAAATTGAAATACATTACATTTATTTTTTTAAAAAAATTACCCACTTCAGTTCTTAACCAATTATCCCCAGTTAAACCCATTTCCCCCTTCTTTTAATTTAAATCAAACCACATACTTATGGACTGGACACCCGAGTGCGGTTCATATTGTTTGTCGGTTGCTTTAAATATAAATATTGCCAACATTTTCTAATAAAAATATATATTATCAACATTTTAGTTGACGAATGACATCCAAATTAACAGTAAATTGGTCACAAAAAGACGAGTAAAGCAATGCATTTTTTCTCATAAAATATATAATATTGGCCCATGAATTATATACAGCGTGTAGGAAGGCAAACCACATGCACAGACTACCACATTATAGTGAGAAAGACAAATCGTATAAAAAGACCAAAACAAAATACTTTTCACAAATATATCAAACGTGGAGATTATGACAACCACCACCTTTTCTCAATATTAATATAATTAAGTTGGGAGAGAGAAAAAAGTGAAACTAAGCTCTAATTACTTCTTTTACTGTTGACAAATTCGTTAGTTTAGTTCACTTAATTAGAGCTTAAATTCATGGGGGAAGGCGACGTGATAATGATTTAGTTTCAGCATACGCTATCGAGGTTGCATGGTGGCTAAAGTCCAGTAAAGATCCAAGAGTTTGGCCCAAAGAGCTACGGATTCGGATCTTAACTGTTCATTTTCTCGCCATACAATATGATATTGAATCATGACCGAACTGACTCTGTTTTTAAGCTGCTGGTTCTCTATGCTCAACCGGTTTACTTCATCCGTGATGTTCTCCAATTGCATCCTTTTTCGCCTACGGGACCGCCTCGCCGATTCTCGGTTCGATATCATACGTCTTTTCTTCCTCTCATCCGCCGAATACACCGCCAGAGTCGAACCTTCCAAACCATAGTTTGGACTGACTGGTTCATTAGGTTCAAGAAAAGATACCGCCAGAGTCGAGCCTTCTGAACCGGAGTTAGGACTAACCGGTTCATTCGAGTCGAGAAAGGATAACAATTCTTCAAGCTCTTCGAGTGTGAAGCCGGTTTCGTGAACCGGCAATTCGAACTGATCAGCTTCTTCAGACAAGAACATTGGGTCAATTAGAGCAAACAAAAAGGGTTTTGAATCAATAGTAGTAACTAGTAAGCAAGTAACATGAGGGGAAAAGGGAAGGAAAAAAGAGGAGGGAAAGGGTATTTAAAGGGAGGGGGGAAGGGACGTGTGGGGTCTTTCGATAACAAAAGATTTTGGAAGGATGCTTTTAAAAGTCAAAAAAGGCAAAAATAAGTTACCATTGCAAAGCAAATGTTAAACTACTGTACATTTTTTAAATTAATTATCATTTGGTTTAAAGTTATTGAGAGAGAAGAGAAGAACATTAGGTTTACCTTAATCACGAAGCATCAAACCAAAACAGATATATAAAAAATATTTTTGCTGGAAAAGTTATACATGTTTATCAGAGAGAGAAGACCAGAAGTCATGTGGGATACGTCGGAGAAAAACAATATTTTTTTAAAAGAATAAAGTTATTTTTTCAAATAGAAAATAAAGGTATTATAGAGAGTGGCGTGAGAGATTATCAAGCAATTGGGTAAAATTCTGTTTAAATTTTATATTTTACAATTAAATTAAAACATGTTTATCGTTTAAACAATACAACGTCAATCTAGCTAGATATATTGAATCAAATGAAAATAAGTTGAATGGTAAATAAATTCGTTACGGAGTAGGGTTAGGTTTCTGAGATTCTGTGGGGGTGGTTGGTAACATGAAGCAAATGAAACGGGAAATAGACATAAAAAAATTATTCATAAGCAAATAAGGATTTAAAGACAACATAGGAGGACAAGAAGGTTGTAGTTTAGTTTCTTAGTTATGATATTTGATTGTGAAGGGACATTTGCATGTGGGGGAAAAGACAATTGCAAACGTATATGCGTTACACACTAGGGTAGAGTAATATTATTTGTGAACTATATTTTATTTGCGTAAGATTAGTGTTATAAGGAGATAATTAAGCCTTAGAATTCGTATGGGCCATGAATATTTATTTTTAAAGTAAAATTTATATATTTTATATTATACAATCAATTATATTTACCATTATCGTCTGGTACAGCATATCTTTATATATATAAACAGAAATCCATATGGTCCCTTATGATAAGAATCATTTAAGGTACTTTTTCACTCTTGTCCAAGCAAAAGCAATCGAAAAAAAAAGTTCTGTGGTGGAATTAGAAATTGCCTTTAGTTTAGGTTACTCGTGAGTTGTGACCTTTTAACCCCCCCCCCCCCACGAAAAACTACACTGATCGTTTGCTTTTCCTTTACATATGACATGTATGCATAAATATTCTTTAGTGGTTTAACTGATTGCAGCAAAGATTCCCTGGTAGTTTTTTAGTTGTTGGAAGTTGAAGCACAATTGTTTTTTGCTTAATATTTTTAATTAACTGTAGTGGGGAAGTTCTCTTTTATTTGGCTGTTAGTCTTGATTCTGTTAATTGCAGGGTAGGCCTAGCAAGCCATTAATTAAACATCTAATTTATACTACTGTAGGCTATAGTGGAGGCTAACATGCATGCATACGATCGCTCATGCTGCAGGGTATAATTTCATTACCTTTTTATTTTATGAAATTCAGCTCAACCATTAGCTACCCGTCCTTTTATTTGTAAATTTATTATATACATTTATGTTCTAATTTAACTTCTTTAATCAACTTCTATATACAAGTGGCCTTCATGTGCCCCATTTTCTTAGTTAAGGATGCTTGAATATGATAACATGCCTAATTTCTTTTATCCTAACGCTAATTAAATTTTAAAGGGCTGCCTAATCACAATACATGAGTTAGACAACGTAATTATTTTCATGAGCATAATCCCGTTTGGTGCAAAGTAATTTGGCATTTATATAAAAATATATATTATTGAAAGATGAGTACTCTACCAAAACTTTAAAGCTCATTTTTTTTATAAAAGATAGTAATATTTTGTATCAAAAACTGATATTAAGTCTTTTTCTCTTCTTTTCCATAATGTAGATGATATAAAGGACCAGACCAGGATTTGATTAGGATACGATTGACTCAACTTTGAAACAGGCTATAGGTATAGATGGTAGCAAAGTCCAAAATAGTATATACATATTGGTACACACGAAGCGTCAACATTTCCCACAAGTGCAAAAACCTTGCTTCGCCAATATCCTATGGCCAGGCGTCCCAACAGCAGAGGAAGAACTCACTTTGCCATCTTTGAGTATTACTTCAGGCGCAGGCAAACCTGGTGGAGCCACCCTCTCTTTGCCCATGCGCACACTAAAGCCAGCAAGGAGAGCCCAGGCACAGTGTACCGTAAAGCTCATAAATCTTCATCATATCCTAATGCCCTTTGCTTACTTTCAGAGGCCAACAACGGTTCCCCCAATATATTGTGTGGCCATCGGAGAAGTAACCACACTCCACAAACATCTTAAGTAACGCACAATTGCACGGTACGTCTAGTTTTGGATGGCATAATTTAGCCAGTTTTAGCAAAAGCAAGTAAAATGAGCATGGAAAGCTATAGTGTATTACCGAACATAAATTTAGTTCAAGATCTAACTCAACTTGATTACAACATATGTAATCTCATTTAATCCTACATTAAGCACTTATTTGTAAAAAGTTTGAAGAAGAAAGATACCCAACACGAAGTTGAACTGGTTGGCCAATGTGGAAAAGAATCATCACAGCAATCAAGGACAGAAAGCACTTTTGAAACCGACAATCTCGAGTCTTCCAAAACTTTTAAGGTCTAAGCTCAATACTGCAAAGAAACAATTCTTATGCAAATAGAAGTATCATTTCTTCCAAGTGATCGTCTTTGTCATGGATGAGACAGGAAAGCTCGCGTAAAGCATTTGCATTCATTGGGAATGTATAAGAATACGAACAATGAAGAAACATAAAGAACTGTTCCGCTTCAACTATGTACAGGTACCACTATGAATCTCCTCAACATCATCTGGTTTCTCTCCTTCAATAGCAATATCTAGACCTAACAAGAACAAACTAGCATTTACCATGAAGCAGTACTAGTTGAGACTTAAAAACACTGATTCGGATATTACAGAGAAAAATCAGTGACGGAACCTTATGAGATTACAATATAAAGTTCATATTTACCTTGAACAAAAGATCATGAGCAATGTCTTCCCAGGGAAACGTTATAGACATTAAGCAGCATTTGGGAGGTATCATCTCTTTATCATAAATTGAAGTAGGAGCCGGATAAGCATGCTTTGCTGCCACATAGACAAGTACAGAAGCTGCTTTACGAAACACTGAGCCAATATCTGGAACCCCTTTTTGACATAACTGATGAAGGGCCAGAATAGTGCTTGCTTTGGTCTGATAGAGAAACATAAACTCACTATTTTAATCAACCCTAGCATGCAACTTTCACTTAAAATGATCAATCAACTAATACAATTCATTAAACGAATCAGTTGTTCATTAAATGAGAAATATAGAATATTAGAAAAGGAAGCAAAGTATGCACAATAATTCCCAAAAGTAATGGCATCCAAATTGTCCACAGGTGAATCGCTTTGAAGTGTGATATAATGATTGATTGATCAGAGTAAGACATAGGGCAATTTGGGCTTAAGCGTTGGGAAAACAAAAGTTCGTGATCAATATAAAGTCCGTTGCAACATTTAATCCACACATAAAGCCCTGAGAAATTGAGGGAACACAGAAGAAAGTGAATGTTACAAGTTTAAGAAGAAACTCTTACTGAACTGCTACACCTGAAACAGCGACTTAAACTTCCCCACGTCCTCCAGGACCTTTCATGTAAGTCTGTCTGTTTTACCAGAGGAATGACCAATTGATAGAAGACTTCCAAATCGACAATGCACATCTGAGAAAGAAAGGCAAATGATATGATATAAGAATGAAATAAGCATGAAGAAGAAATTAAGAACAAACAAAGTAGAAAGTATTCTGAGTTTTTGCAGAATTCTGAAAGAACAAAAATAGAAGCCAATTCTTAGAAATGCATAGTAAAAGGGTATACCATCATATGCATCCCTAACCATTTGATTTAAAGTTGTACGAAAGCTGGTCTTTGTTGCGTATATAGAATTCCCAAGCAGCTTTTCACAGAATAAATCCATTTTAATTTGGAAACTCAAGCATCAGTCTATATGATGCTAAGCATTACAAAAATGATATTTATAACTTCAAAATTAATTCATGAGAATAAAATAGGAGGCACTGAAATGATACCTTCGGGAAAATAACTTTCTTTTCATGTCATGTGACGACCCTGGTTGATCATCATAAAGAAGTGTTCTAAAGAACAGAAAATAATTAACCATCATAAGTGAACAAAAAACCATGCAGCTCTACGCTTGTCCTTCAGATGTGTAGGCCCTGGTTGATCATGGAACTAACACAAATAAACTATCAGAAAGGACCCAAACCTTACAATTTTTCATCTTCATAGAATTAGTATCTACTCTTAATCGTAATTTGTTACTGGAACAGCTATCATTTCTATCTGTTACACTAGGAAAGGCTGCCCCATCTATTGCATTAAGAAGCACACAGTAGCAATGATCTGTATCTGTCAATCAAGACCTGCATGAGAAGAAAAAATGTCACAACTACATACAAGGGGTACTACAATTAACAAAATGTTTCTGTCATGTTATACTTCGTCACTACCTAGGGATGAAGGAGAACTTTGAATAGTATTCTAATACATAAAAATGTTTTGCTTTATATAGTGCACTTTACACCACATACTCGTGCACAATAACCAACTAGGCAAGTAACCACCTAACAGACTGCTTACATCAGCCTAACAACCTGAAGACTATTCATCATCTTCAGCTTTACTCTAATATGTCATAAGAACAGGACAGCCGTATAACCAAGAAGGATGTAAATCTTCAAATAAAGAAGTGTCCTTGGTCCTTACACAAATAGCAAGTTCCAACTCCTTGTTAGCTCAATGCCTTTTAAAACGGGTTGTGGGAGGAAGGCAGTAATACTAGCCTAGTTGAAACTACACGTGATAAATCTTTAAACTGTATTTAGTTACCATAAAATAATTATTTTCTTACGAATGTAATCTCTTAATTATGATTTTAGACTTTTAAGAATATAATCCCATTAATATACTTTACAAGAAAAATAGAAAATTATCTTTTATCAGTGTATTTGGTAAAAAAAATAAAACAGTGAAAGATAACCTTTTAGTTCATATGATAGATCTTTCATATTTTTATTTAACTTTTTTTTCGAATGAAAGTGATTTATTTTTACACATAACAATGAAAAATGATCATCCTTTTCTTCTTCTTTCTCCTCACTTTTGTTTTATATTTAAAATTTATTTTATTTTATTTTCATTTTTCATTCTTTCCTTTCATACGAAACATTAATGATGAGGTTTAAAACTTTTATTGTTTTATTTTGAAAATAAAATGTAATAAAAGTTAATTCATATAATTTGAGACTATAACTCTAATATAACTTTGTACATTAATCTTATTTTCTAATTAACTCATCATAATGATTTGTCATTTAAAATTATACACCTATATAATTTATACTATATCTTATAACATAAATTCACTCAATTTCGTCCATATTTAATCTCCTTTAATTTAAAATAATCTTTTATTATATATATATATATCATTTAATAAATTTTCCTGTAAAATGTTCAGAATATAAAAAAAGATAATTCATTTTTTACCATTAAGAACTCGCCCTAATAAATACTATATTAAAAATATATATTATAGAAAAGAAACTATATTGTGTAAAATCACATATATTAAATTTTATTTTTAAATAAAATAATATTAATATATAAAATAGTTATTTTCAAATTTTTATAGCTCACATAAATTATGCTCAATCCGTCAATCGCATTGATTAAAATTATTGTTAGAAACTCTACCAAAATTTAAATTTTATAATATATATAACTAAGAGATAAATAAAGAATCCGATTAAATAGTCAAATAGCATAAATAGACTTGTCGTTATCATAAGTATAAATAGATTATTGAAATTATGAACCTAAAATTTTAGGCCGGCTGTCAGATTTCAAAAGAATAATAGTATGCATAACTATAATTATCACTAATTGTATAGAGTAATAAAGTTTTTTTTTATTAACTAAGGTGAATAAAAATAGTATATGTTCGAAAGATTTTCAATAATTTGACGATGAACGCTAACACATTTGTAGATAGTATGACTAAACTTGAAACCTCTACTGACAACAATCATTCCCTTAATCACTAAGATCATTTAGTTTTGCTAGAATAATAAAATTAAAGCTAAATTAAAGGATAATAATTATTATGAATAATATTTTAATATATCTTATTTGACTATCGTAATAAATATATTCACAATCATTGTTTTTTATGATCATGAATAAATAAATAAAAATAAAAAAGTGTCGATATGATCTTGAAATAATAAAAAAATCATTTAAAAATAGATTTTTTTGGAATTTTGTAAGTCATATTTGACTGTATTTTATACATCTATAATTATTTAATTTTATTGTTTCAGAAAAAGAAAAAAATGTATTTGATTTTAGATATTGGTATCAAAGGATATCTATAAGTCAAATCAAGATAAAATTATAACCAGCCCTAATTATATAATTTTTATTCACTTATAAATATAAATTTTCTATAATATTTTAATTAAAAATAAATAATTTATGACATAAAATAATTATTTTAAATTATATGCGATTTTCATGATTTTTTTTTCTATCTCTTAAACTTGTGTTGTCTTTTTTAGGTTGTGTTTGGTGGGAAGCAACAAAAGAATAGCAAGGGGAAGAAGAAGAAGAAGAAAAAAAATGTGAATTTTGCTGTTAAATAAATATAATAAAAATCATCGCATGCCATGGATTAGAACAAAAGCAAAAGCAAAAGCACCTTTTGCTCAACAATCCACCAAACAACAGTATAAAACATAAGTCAACAACAACAAAAGGTCATTTTGAATATTTACAAGGAGTAGCTTTAGTTTTTGGTTTTAATCTTTTATTTTTCCTGCAAAAATAAACAAATATCAGATGAGCATGCTCTCCATAACTAGTATCTAATATTATGCTTAAAAAGAGTGTTGTTAAAGAGCCAAAACTTCAAAGATAAGCACACCTAAATTACAAAGAAAAATATAAAACTTCTATAATAAAATTAATTTGATAAAAATTCAAGCTCAAATTTAAATGCTTTTAAAATCTCCTAATTAATATTTCTATCAATGTAATTAGTAATATGAAATCTGAATTCTTTTGGAAAATTGATAATCTTTGATCCGACTGTATAAAGAA